TGTTCGTCGTCTCACTGAGGAACGGGAATCCCTGATAAGGCAAGAGCGAGCAGATTTCCGTCCATAACGAAGCTGTGAGACCATGTATTCACTTTGCGGCAGGTGCCAGAGCAGCGTAATACGTATCGCAGACCGACAACAACTGTGCCTCTGGACTTCAGGAGTGGGTTCGAATCAAGCGATCGGCAAATTCTGTTCGAAATACTTGCAAGAAAATGTGCTACTGTGAAATGTGTAAACATTTTATGTGCACTGTACTCGAACTCCAAAGATTTCGGAAGCTTTACCGACGACAAGTGGCCCAATTTCCACATTTTTGTTCAATTTCGTCGTGGACTTCACCATGGAGTGTTACCTTGCGGAATCTCACGATTCAGGCGTTGAGATGCTGCCTGGTGAAAAGCTAGTTGATCATGAGTATGCGGACAATATTGTCTTGCTGTTTAACAATATTCGATAGCTCCAGTTAACCATGAGTAACCTCACTAGAGTGGCCGTCATTTGGCATGCGCTTCGCACCTTCAAAGTGCAGAACGTTGATGCATAACCGCGTCCCACTTGAGGATCCCCTGGCCCTTGATAGGGAGGAGGAGGAAGGTAGTAAAGAAATGCAGTTAACTTAGCGGCCGCACCAACAACGATGGGGGTGTACTTGCTGAAATTAGTTCACGTACTGCAAAATCCTAGAACTATCTTATTTAGTGTGACATCTGTGGCGTCAGAAAGGGGTTTCCATCGGCCTGAAAGGCGTGTTTACCGGGCCACGGTGAGACTTGATCCCTCAAATGTGAGGATATGAGGCAACTTCAGGTCTTTGATCACCGCCGCCTGCGAAGCATTGCTGGTGTCGGATGGTACCAGCGTGTCCGCAACGATGATGTGCCTAGGCGACTGCTGGGTAGTTCCTTAGAACAACAGATAGTATTGAATAAATTATATTGACTTGATTACGTGCTACGTATGCCCGGTCACCGCTTACTGAGGAGGGTCTAGTTTAGTCTTTTAGATGCATGGTGGCGCAAGGCTCGAGGTGGACAAACGTTGATTTGGCAGCGGGAAATGAAGTCACTGACGATTAAAATCGGTGCCGTCGGTCCGTCTCACCTTACAGAATGGACTCCACGTGACCCATCTTATGCTTAGCTCAAGACTTTAGAGTGTATGGCTCGCAGTCGACACCAGTGGCGCGTCTGCTGCCGTCTCCTAGTCGGACTGCCTGTTTAAAGTGTGTTTGGTGCTAATTTATCTGCGGGGTAATGGCTGATTGTAAAGCGGAGCAGTGAAAGCCGAACGGAACTTGCCTCGCCGTTGCCGCCTTATGTCTGTACGATAGCCAGCTATTGTGACGGTATGTTATTGACAAGGTGTGCGCGTCTTGACCCTGAATGGTTGTTTAGAGTTTTAAGTTTCTACGCTAGGTTCCAGTTATCTTTGTTGTTGTACGACAGCGAAGTATAAGTTCAGATGGCTGATGTACTGCTGTTGATGATGATACCACAGATAACGCGGCACCGAACACATTTTAAACAGGCGGTCGGACCACGAGACGTCAGCAGACGCGCCGCTGGTACCAACTGCGAGTCATGTCCTGTAGATTCTAGAGCAGACAGTCGGACTAGCAGACGACAGTAGACGTGTCATAATGGACGATTACTCCACAAATATCTAAGGCCCAGACACAATATAAACAGGCGATTCGACGTGGAGACGACAGTAAACGTAATACTGGTGTTGGCTGTGGGCCGTCTCGTAGTCTGGAGTCAATAAAAGGTGAGTAGCGTGGAGTTTAGCCTGGAAGGCAAGATTCAGAAAGAGTGCGAAGTTTGACTGCTAGTGACTTCATTTCCTGCTACCAAGACGACTTTTGTCCACATCGAGCCATCAGACATCTGGTAAACGAAATAAGGCCTTTATTTAGAGGTGTCGGGTGAGCATACCTGGTGTGCGATCCATGAAACGCATCAACGAGTTAACCTTTCTATGGGAGCCTAGTGCTCGTCTACGCACACAATCGATGCCGATACGATGGTGTAAATCACCAGCCAACGTGGATCAGATCCTCAGTTCGAAGGGGGTAGTTCTCATTCCCACAGAGCCCTTTCTGTGGTCCTTCAGCCACAGATGTCGCTAATTCGAGAATACAGCTCGAAAAGTTGTATGACAAGTGAAGTGATTTCAGTATACACATTCCCATCGGTGCTAATGCAACTCTAAAGATGATCGAACAGTTATCTCTTCAAAGGGCCAAGTGGTTGGTGGTATTTGGCCTCTTGCAGATCCGTAGCACTTGTAGAAGGATCGGACCGCTCCAGAGTTTATTCGAGGTTGACTGAGCTGTCTCAGCAAAAAGCAAGTCGATATCGTCCGCATAATCGAGACCAATAAATTTTTACTAGGTAGCATTTCAATGTCTAAACCATAAGAGTTCGCAAGGGAACACTCCATGATGGAATCCACGATTAAATGGAGCAAAGACAGTTAAATTGGACGACCGGGTGGGCACCACTTGCTGTCGGAAAGGAGGCCCACGATTCACCGCAGGCCTTGACTCGATTGTGAATTGTTCGGATACAAGGCACACAAAATGTTCACATATCGCAGATAGACACCTTTCTCAGCGCGTATGTCGAAGCGAAAAAATACAGTCGACTGAAAGTGTCGAAGTTTTGGAATTGAAGAACACGGCTGTCATCGGCCTGCGATACATGTGACAATGCTATCACACCTGTTGCAGAGTGAAGATAAGGTATGTACAGCATACCACAGTCTGAAAACCAGCGGACCAAGCTTGAAACCAATAACTTTGTCGCTGACGGCGTCAGGCTGCTACGCGGTGGTGGTTCCCGAAAACGATGCGACTGCTCTTTGGTCATATTTCCACTACGCAGTATTTGATCCATTGGGATGTGATGGAACCTTATTTCCATACCTGTTCGAGCAGATGGGAAAACCTATAGAAATGAAGCTCACTACCATCCTCAAATAGGAATCCGAACCACTTGCACGAAAGGGACTGAGGGCTGTGACTACATTTCGGGCCTCAGCCTCCGATGGAGCTTGTAAACTAACGAGCAATGGCTCAACCTGTACCACTTGTGTGACGCAAACTGAACCACTCCAGAAAGTATTCCTCTTAACGAGTCAGACGGCGTTCGTCAATTAGAAATATAGTGCCCATGTTGTCCCTAATTAGCTCACTGAGCTATGAGTTACAGGGGCTAGCAGAGCGGAAAAGTATGGGTCAGTTGCCGCAACTCCTGCTTCCTTTACGTCTAGAAGCTGTTGACTTAATCAAATTACCTTGTCAACTCATATTATCCGTCTCAGCTCCCGCCTAGTAGTTCGTCCGGGTATGCTGTGAATGGTACCAGTCGCTCCAGCACGGCCATCGACACCTTTGATATCCAGTGTCTGCTGCGATGATAGTGAATCAAGCAGAAGCTCCAGCGTCAGGCATGGTAGCCGAGAGACTACTTCACAGCAGCCTGATGTCTCTGGGGTAGGTAGATGAAAGCTTGGTAAGCAAGGCATCTTAGAAGTTTCACCTGGTTGGGGGTTGATATAACTTCTCAGCTGCCAACCAAAGGAAACGCCAACGGGTAAGTTTAAGGAAAAGCAAAAACGTACCAGAAAAAATGATCAGAGCTGAAGTAAGCGTTCCATAACCCGTAGCAGTCAAAGATGAAGCCCCGCCACCCGTAATGTACACCGACCTCATCTGTTTGCGTCAGTCGCTGGCGATCTGCCGAGTAAAACCAATTGGCACGTCGCTGCACTGAGTGAGTGAAAGTGGTGGTGTTAAGAAACTGCCGATGTTTGGCGCACAACCGCACGCCATCGTCCGTGTGTGCAGAGTTTAGTACCAGTCTCCCACTAAGCTGAGCTTCTGAAGAGCTCAGATGATTAACCAACATCTTCATATAACCATCAATTAGACCGATTCATGAAACCATAACATTGCGAAGGATCGTGTTGACTTTGTTGTGGGAAGTGTCGTTGGAAGCAACAAGACTGCAGTCGTCGGGGAAATAAGTGAGGTGTGGTGGATCCAGTTGACACTACGCTTAAAAATGGATGGGAGTAATAAGAGCGTAAGAAGAATGGGGCAGTATTAACAAATAGAAAATCTTCGGTACTCCTGGGTGCTAGATTGAGTTGATGGAAATTGTCATGACGGATGCTCACGGGAATACAAACAACCAACGATGACACCTAGCCTTGCAGCTGAGAACGATGTCCACTCCAGCTTGAGCTTTGGTTACTTCATCAGTGTCCCCCGATATATCCATTCAATTACGAGAGGACAGGTGGGGCACAATTAGTTCAGCAATCCTATGAGGCTCATTAATTCTAGTTTCGGACACACAACACACGTCAACGCTCAGTGACAAACACGCGCACCAATGAAACCTGTTGACCTGTCTTACGTTACGAATATTGGGCCCGCTAAAGAAAAGGGGAAGGGTGCCTTGATAAAAGGATGTCGATGGTAGGGATTCAATTGGCACTGTGGGATCACAACAACAACTAGCAGGACTCAACTAGTACGGACTGGAAAGAGTAGAAAAGGGAGGAGGCATCAGTGGTTGGACGTCTTCGGTTGTGCTTCGCTGTATGCAGCCGATCAGGCGGTCCTTTCGAAACACTGGGCAACCGATGTAAGACGCTGCGGAATTTTGATGAGTATGTTACGGATGGACGTGAGAGCTGGGATATTACCACGGGGGGGGCAAACCTAGGACAGATACCAAGAAACAAAGTCCCTGGGATAAAAGCCAGACCACAAGGGAGCAGAAATATGGCTATAATCCAATTGCACAGAAATTGGTGCCATCCCAACTCCCAGTTCCAGTTTACAGGTTCAAGAGACAGTCCGTTTGATCTATAGCCAATGAATGCTCTGGTGGAATAGCTCGCCAGAGGCTTGAAAGTACCACCCAGTAAAGTTCAATAGGTCAAAGAGGCGTACAACTTGAGCAATGTTATCAAAGAAAACTTACCTGAAAATGAGAACTGGATACTGATTTTGCAATCTGTCGAAAAAGCGGTACCATAATGAGTTGGAATTGAACGGGCTCAATCACTTCGAGAATCTCCTCAATTTCACCCAAATACATTACTTCTTTTTGTGAGTATGTCTTGGGCCAAAACTTGAGCAGGCCCTTGACCACTTGTTCCGTAAGGGTGGAGTCCTTGTCCAGGAACTGAACGATGCAGTACGCCAACTGGGAAGAAAAAAGATATCTGTCTGAACAAGCGTTTCATTTATAAACACATAATCGAGTAGGACCACGATGAAGTGTAAATGACCCACAATGCAGAAAATTTAATGGGCCCTGAAGGCAGGCTGAAGAGAGCAAAATTTAAGTGGTAAAAGTGCACGTACCTTTTTGATCTTTAACAGGCACGACATCATCATTCTTGGCCACTCAGGTGAAAAAGACATTTGATGCTCAATGAGAACAAGTTAAACAACAGCACGAAAGCGCAAAATACAGAGTAGCAAGAAAGATTGAAGTAAGAGGCTGGTTGCTGGTTAGTGCATGTATGTCGCATAGTAGCCAAGCACTTGTTTCAAAATTTAACGCAGGCGTTCTATCAGTTAAGAGAAAGGGTACAGGTGCGTGACCATCCAACGGAATGGTACCATTCCAATAGTGGCGTACCCCAGGTCACAGTACTGAGGTCCATTTTGTTCCCGAGTCCTATCAACGAAGTACCTCAGCTTCTCCGGTGGCCTTGTGCTTTGTTTGTAGACGACCTGAAGAGTTACAGTACTTGATACTTCCGACGACCGCGAAGTACTTCAGCATGACCTCGACCGCCTGTCCATGTGGCCTGCAGATGTCGATCTGCCGGTTAACCCAGTCAAATAGTTACATATGAGCCTAGGGAAGGATGGTGCTGGGCGCACGTACAATCTGGCTGGCCAACCGCACCATTCCACACCCTCCGTGAAGCATCTGGGCGTACTCGCACGCTGCGGTTTGAAGTACGTAGATAATACAAACAAGGCGTTTAGAAACGGACTGCGCCTGTTTGAGCGCTCAAACGCATCTTTTGCATTTCGTCTGAAGAAATAGCCACTCGTTTCTTCTATTCCATCATAGGACCGATGCTCGAGTATGGATCACCTGTCTATTGTCCGATCACACGTGGCGAGGTGCAGAGACAGGAACCGATTCAGCGTGCAGCCACCAGACTCATCCCCAGTTTACGACTTATGTCGTAGGAAGACCGATGCAGACTAGGGCAGTACACCGTATCGTTTCCTCGGTTTCGAGTGGACCACATAATGATGCACCGGGTACTGCAGCTGAGTCACTTCCCCATGCTGAAGCCACTACTGCACGTGCGCTCACAAACAGTACTCGCAACCACTGGCACAATGTAGTGGTACCGCACCACTTTGCTTCCAGCGTCGAGTGGTAGAATATTAGAACAGTTTGTCTGAGAACATAATCAAGGCGAAATCGGTGTCGGAATTCAAGAAATTCGTAGACACCCACTTTGCGTCCGAATGGCCTATGCCGCTGCTGTAATATGCTGCAAACGCGCAGGAATCGGTGGGGTTATTTAGCGCACGTGCCCGACCTAACTATCATGAAGCAATATATATATATATATATATATATATATATATATATATATATATATATATATATATATATATATATATATATATATATATATATACTAGCTCCCCTTCTCGGTATTCAGTGAGTCTGCTGATCACATATCAACCGCGCACCGAAGTATGATGGATCAAGCCATCTCGGGTCCCGTCACCAAAAATGATGCTTTACCGAGAATTGATAATGACAATTCGTGGGAAAGGTAAAAATTTAGTCAACATATGGGGTGGATCAGCGTAGGAAAAGAATGCAGCAGCGCATTTACCGCAGTGAATAGAACAGCTTATCAGTGCCACATGCGGTGACGACTGTAGTTGTTACGTATAAAGATCGTCTTGGTACAACTTCGGATCATTTTACCAATGATTGGAGAATCTCGTAGCCAGCTTAGTATAGCTGAACATCAAACGCTACAGAGAAATCAAGTGCGCGGCATTGGTCAATGACGAATATATCATGCATGCGGAGCCAGGGGAGCGATGTATCACATGTAGCGGTGAAGTTATGTTGTTAGAGATGCGTGCGCTAGAAGAAGAGCATAAGTCAGCGCGACTCGGATGCTCAAGCAGTCACAAAACATCCAGAGGTGCGCTGGAGGACCGTTTGCACTTTCTGGAACAAGTTAGCAGTGCGCATACTCTCGAATCGGCTGGGGATCTAACCACCAGAGACGGCGGAGGCCGGTAACCGACACTACTAAACCTATCACCTATTCCGCTATGGTAGAAACAAACAAAAACCATTGTATGATATCATAACTTAAATGACAACTCCGTACAAACATACTATCCGAGTGAACCCGACGTTCTCCTTAGCATGGCGGCTGCGTGTGCAGAACAATAGATCAATCGTCCAACCATAATCCCTGACTCCAAAGAGATGTGAAACTTTACCACAGGACATTACAGAAACGTTACAGTAATAATCGATGTAACGCCGTTGAGACTGCATTTAGCGAACGCCACCGAAGTGCGTGATGTAGTAATACCAACTAAAAGTAGAGTTATGATAAAGTATTACATTGTACACAAAAAACAGATTTAGCTGTTATAGGTGTAAAAGCGTACAGCGGAATGAACATGGAAAGACAGAGTCATTTGACTAAAGATAAGTAGTTAATCGATGGGCAAATATGAGTGATGGTTAATCTGTGTCTCTTCAGCTGCGATAGACACGAGTGCAGAATGATACTAAAATAGAGAAGGGTGGATTGAAATGACCAAAACGAATCAACAAATCATCACGGGCGGGCAATATGATCAACGGCAAAACGGCAGACACATGGAAGGGCATATGAAGGGGGTGAAACTAACAAACGCGGTGCAATGGAGCAGCTCAAGAATAGCCAACAAAGTGGAGCAGGTGAGAGCAAGGTGCTCCGATGCCGGCTGTACAAAATGAAATGGCTAACAGTGAAATTAATGGCATAGTTACATCAACAACAACGGTGACTGGAACACCATCGAGCGCTGTAAGCAATAGTTCACCGACGAAGTGGCAAGTGCGACACAACATACACAAATTAGTAGACTTGCGTACTTGTGGGTGGAACATGACTAGAGATTTAGCCTTGTGTAAAGGAATGAGAACCTTGGCCAGAAAGCGTGTGTGCTCCGACTTCAGGGGGAGCGCAAAACCATTGATGATGCTACCCAAAATCTCCAGAAGTTCGCCAACTCCGTTAAACTGCTCTGTTTCATAAATAAACCTGTGGTGGAGTGCGTTAATACACTGAACGGTATTGCGTAGGAATACCTCAAAAAGATATTATTGATTTGTTTTCTGATAAATGAACGCAGTCCGAGGAATTTTCCGTAAATTCGGTGAACAACGGTCTTCAAAAGTTCGCGCTCTCGAGGGTCCTCGCTGTCAAAAAGCTCTAGAAGCTGGACAAGACAATGCCGTAGCATACAAAAAGGAGAGTTGTGTACCTGAAGAACAAATTTTTGGTCAATGTACTTCTTCGCTATGCTTGGCTGGAATTCTGAGGACTCCAAAACGCGTAGAAAAAATTCATACACGTGCTGAGTCAAAGAGTGATAAAGAAATTTCGGTCTAGTTTGCATACCATGAGATGAGGCCAAGAAACTTCGAGTACGGGGTCGTCTTCTTCTGGGTCAAAATCAGATGAATCAGTGGGGGGTAGGGGACGGAATATGTTACATGCGATCTAATGGATGGGAATTTTAGATGAAGCATCGAATGTACCATCGAGATAATCGGCTGATAAGTGGATTCCTGCAAAGCATTTCGAGAGGCTGAGACGTATTCAACCAACTCCGTGAGAAACCGGCGCTTGAGCTCTTTGCTAGGCATATCCGAAGTCGAATCCGCGAAATTAAACACAACACAACATTGTTGCAGCTTTTTGATGAACAGATCCTGATGTTCTGTCGGAGATGCATCTGAAAAGGTGATCATACGGTAAACGAAGATAAACGAACGCACCTTTGAAGTAGGGTAAGTGTGTCAACTCAGTCGGGGCCTTGGGTCGGTAATGCGAGGAACCTTGAGCACGCTTCTGTTTTTTGCCCTTGATTTCTGCCTTGATACGGAAAGGGTCTGGTTTGGAATACTCTTTGGACATATCAGGATGAACTTGATTAACAAGAAGCGAGTGGTAGCTAAAACGTGTGAAAAAAGAAGATAATTTTCCAAACAAAAAAGCTCATAGAAACAGAAACACTATAGATGGATCTCCTCAAAAAAGTGGAGTTAAAGTGAATTCTTATGAGCACTTGTGTATAGTAACAATCTGGATAACAGGACATGATAAAATAATATTGGTGAGCGGTCGGAGTGGCAGGAAATACACTGTCTCACTATGTTCAACAAACACGCTCATCTGGACAACCTCGTGTCCGTGGTGACCGGTTTGCAAAGATCGTAAAATGCACATAGGGGAACATGCGGTCTTATACAAAAACGTTCTAGCAGTTAGGTGTGATTATATATATATATATATATATATATATATATATATGACAAATAAAGAATTGGCGGTGCCACAACACATGGGTAAGAGCAAAAATACAAAAGAGAAAAAAGCCAGTTAGGGAAAAGAACCTCACAACGCTTTCATCATTGGGTACTATTGTAAACCATATCCCAGTTAAAGACACCGCAGAGCACACAACGAATTTATGCAGCCCAGTGGTCGCCTGAATCTGTCTGACTTGAGGATCCGATGTCGAATGTCACCATTACTAATGCGATGCCAACGTACGCCGGCAATGCACCGGATATCGCCCGCTCGAACGGGCCATATCTCGCAATTATATTGAAGCACTGTTCGTACCGTAGCGTTGTAGACTCGACTTTTTAGCGAAAAGCTGAGATTACGCCGGCACCAGAGATGTAGGAGGTTGGTGAAGGGTACTCTGGCTTTGGTGATGGGCAAATTGATCACATGCGTCAATCTCTTCATGTTAATCCAACTCCCAAGGTAAACGAACTTACGGATTACTTCCAAAGAAAAGCCGGGAATGGAAAACCTTACACTTGCAAGGGGAAAAGGTCACTCCGAACTGCGAAACGGATATCACCCACTTGCGCAGCTTACGAGGAATTATGAATAATGGCGATGTCGTCAGCATAATCCAAGCCACGGATCCGACCGCCCGCGAAAAACGCCAGGACATCAGCTCCAGTTTTTTTAGAACAGGTTCTAAGATGTCATTCAGAGCAAAGTTGAACAAGGGTGATGCGGGCAACCCTGTTTCATGCACTGATGATACTAAGTGGAGGCGTAAATTCGACGTACGCCTAAACTCAGCCAGAAGTTAGAGAGCAAGTGGCTTGAAGAACGTTAAGACAATTTTCGGGCACCCTCTTTCGCAGGAGAAAACTCCAGAGAGCAACTTTGTCAACGGAGTCAAATGTGGTGCGTATGCCCAGGAAGTAAATGATGGTAGGCCGGCTGAAAGCTCGACAGTACTCGAGCATCTGGAGAAACGTCAAGATATGATCTATATAGCTCCGACCTAAGCGAAACCCAGCCTGCTCTTCGTGTATGTGCTGTTCGTGTACTCGACTGAGCCTCCCTAGAAGCAGCAAGGCTTGCCGAATAACCTCCTCGTGGTGCCAGCTGGGTGGTTCGGGATTTTCCCGTTCCAGCAAATGGTTCGGCGGCAGTGTTCCAGGACGTGGTGGGTTTTGGCCTGGCAAGCGTTCTCCCTATCAAAAGCCACATATGTCCGTTTAACAAGACTGTGACGTGGCGGACGTGACTCGCCACTAGATAAAGTCACTGCCCTTTGCTTCATCCAGGCGAAGCATTGCATTCCAGCAAAGTAAAGCTAATTCTGGGGAGCAATGCCCCTGTTTGACAAAGAAACAAACGAAAGGAGTATGAACTGAGCAATCAGTCACCGGTTCCCAATGGACGCGATTCCCTGAATACGCTCCGCTGCCTTGTGGGCAAGCTATTCAGCCAAAGGCTCGGGGTGGTGTCCCCTAAGTCAACACCCTACTTCGGCTTGGGCAACCGGGTAGTATCTCGCCCTCTGACGAAACTATTAACTTTGATGTGTTGTGTTGTGTTTTCTTTTACTATTTCTGTAACCTGTTTTGAGTTCCATGGTTTCCGATGGCTCAATGTGTACTCATAGACTGCTGCAAATATAAACATATATACTTTAGATTAAGCTTATGGGAGAATGATTCCCCAGTAGCTGGCGTAATCCGTTCGGTCCTCTTTGCTGAAGATGGGCCATCGCAATGACGCTGGACCTTACCGTGGTGCGATGGTTTGTGCGCCTCTGTGATCCATTGAGCTATACTGGGTGGTGCATTTTTGCACCTTCAGAGCCACTCATACCAGATTGGTCAATGGTTAGAAGCAAGACAAACTCAGCCTCCTGGTCCTCCAGGTTGGGGGTTGGAATGAGGGTGGCACCTTATTCCTTAAAACGGACTCCTTGTAGCCCAACGCCAAACCCGCTGCCTTGCGGTCAGGTATTTTAACCAAAGACTTTGGTTGATAACCCTAATCGTTCTCCTGTCTAGGCCTGGGCAACCTAACAGTATCCTGCCCACGCAGTACAATGAATCACACTACAAACAAGTTTCTGATGTACTGGCCACCGCAGAGGATAATCAACGGTGCCCTATCTGCTGCATCGGGCAGGGTAGATAGGGGTTTGGATGCTACCGCTCAAGCCTTCCCGTCTTCTTATTCCCTCTCTTGCGCTTTTTCACCCTTATCGTCCCGTTCCAGCTTCACCTTTATCACCCCTGTTTTCAATCCCCCAATTCTCGGCCCTCCCCCACGCTGCTTCAATAGTCGCTTGCCTTTTAGTTTCAACTCACATGTGAACGCGAAGCGTCATTCCTGCACTGTCAACAGGCCCATGTCCAAGCAAGCGGCCCATTCCAGTTCATCGACTTCCATTTGGAGCCCTCGATCCTCCTTCAGATTGGCATGCCTCAATGTTCGCACACTGCTTCAGATCGGTCAACAGGCAGCACTTGCCCAAACATTAGAGACCCTCTTGATCGATATCTGCTGCTTATCGGAGAACCGCCAGCAAGACTCGAGCTATGTGCTCACTTTGCGATCCCTTTCAGGTGACACTAGCAGCACTTTCTCGTTGCGCCTATCAGGTGACGAAGCAGCTTCGAGCGCCGGCCAAGCCGGTGTTGGTATTGCCCTGAGTCCCCGGGCTGAAGCTACTCTGGTTGATTGGATTCCAATCAGTAGCCGGATGTGTGCGGTCCGATTGGCTGGCTCGTTCAAAGCTTCGAAGTCACGTGGGACTAACAGGTGTCTATTCGTTATCGCTGCCTATGCACCGACAAACTGTAGCGATGACTCAGTAAAAGACGACTTCTATCGTCAACTGAATGAGCTACTTAGCCACAGAAGAAGCTCGAACACTGTAGTGCTGGCTGGGGATCTGAACGCTCAAATTGGAAAATTATCCACAGATGAGCTGCATCTGGGCGGCCAACATGGTATAGGCTCCCGTAATGATAACGGTGAGCGGTTACTTCATTTGTGTGAGGATGCTCGCTG